TACTACTACCACCACCGCTACTACTATTTCTACTGCCTACTCGTAGCAGTAGCAGTGACAAAAACAACTAACATGCTACTGATGAACAGTAGTACGGCGCATCCCGAATACATAATCACGAGCACTCTGAAACTGCTCCTGGGTTTCGACGGCATACTTTTTCGCTGCTGCAACTCCCTCCGAGGCTTATGGACGCCTCGGATGCATGCAATTCCAGCCTTTGTCAGACTTGTTTGAAATGGCAACTCATGGGACAACTTGGATACGCCAAGATGCGAATCTGGAAGGAGCCGTCTTCTCCAAGCAACGAGTAGCGTGGCGTCATTGTCTCTGTGTCTTGCCACTTGTGCGCCTGTCGCTGCAAAGTACTGGCTGCATTTCGTGACCGACATTGGCCGACATTTGCAAATAAAGTCGACAGCTAGCAGAATTGCAGCGTGCGAGACCTGGGCATGCGTGCTGCTGCGCCTCGACAGTGTCCAAGATGTGGGTTTCCGTTAAGCCTTCGGCACTCGCCCATACGGACATCAAGTTGGAAAGCTCGACTTTTCCGGTTGCGTCCACCACGAGACCTGGCTCGCGCAACTTCTGTGGGGATCCTACTATCGCGGCGTCCATCTTCTAGATTCGGCGTTCTTGGGAAACATTAGTAGGGCCTCCTGTTTGCTGGAACATCATACTTACAGTGTCACTCTTCTCTGACTGATTTCTCCGTCTCGATTGCCTTCCGGTCTATGTTGCGGGTAGCGGATCATCCGGCACAGCGCGCTGGAGATGCGCCTGGTGTCCACCTCACAGGCTCTGTCGGTTGTGGATACACATACATGCATGTCACATCTGTATCTGTGTCTGTCCGTGGGTGTGTGTAGTGTGTGTGCGTGTATATGTATGTGCGTGAGTATCGGTGTACGTGTGTACATGCGAGCATATATGAATACAAGCATGCCTGCATTGGCGCGCATGTGTGCATACACACGTATGTAGGCAGATGGGCGGTGTGTCGGTATGATTGGCAATTCAATTTAATGTAATGCAATGCGGTGCAATGTAGTGTCATGTATGTACCTAAGTGCACATGACCGTATGTCCGTATGTATGTTATGTCTTTTTATGTGCGCATACACTATACATGTATGCATGTTGTGTGATGTTATGCTTTCATCTATATGACATGCTCTGCTGTGTTGCGCTATGCATTCATGCATGCATGGTAACGGAATGTATGAGTGTACGTATATGTGCATGTATGTCCACGGGCAAAGGTACGTATGCGCCCGTGTATGATTGTCTGCGTGTCTGTGTAAGTGTATGTATGTCGTATGATTATACAAACTGTGAATACATCTCACTTCGATGCCTTTCTGGGCGGTGATCGTGATCGCTGTCGCTTGGCATGGCCCGGGCTGCGCATGGTCTGCGACGCTCGAGGTGATCGGGAACACACAGCCAGAGCCAAGCAGTGAATGTGCTAAGGGCTGCAAGCGGTTTCTTAAAGTGGTTTGGCTGACGATGGGTCCAGTCAAATAGTGCGAGCTGTCTTTCACTGCGCATGGCAGAACTTGCAGGGCCATGAAGTCACACTCGCAGTCATCTCGGCCAAGATAGCTGCAACAGAATCATTGGGATTGATACTCGAAAGACGAGCCAGTTGCATCTCAGGGCCCAAGCGTTCCACTCCTTTTCGAAGCCAGGTAAAGCGATGATCACACGTCTTCGACGCTCTGCCTGGGAAGCAAGAGCCGTCTCTCACTCACGTTTCGGGCTTGCGTCCACTACAGTCACTACCCGGTCACTACCCGCCGCAAATTTTCCTATTGAATGGCTTGCTGAGGAGCATCGCTTCAAGCACTGTGCAACAGCACTACCACAAGAAGGAAACAAGTGGTAGCAAATACTGCGACACGACTCTCCTACAAGCAATCGCCGGCTTCCCCCTGAATGCCACACATAGGTAGCCGCATGTTGCAATCTAAACCTACTGCTATATTCCTATTCAGTAAAACTGTAGATAGTACTATTATATGGTCTTATGAAGTTATATATTGCCATCGTCCCACCTTGACTTTGCAAGGCGTCGCTTTCTGCGAGCTGCAGATACCTGGATTATTGGAGGTAGTTTTAGCAGTTGGGCTCTCGTGAGATTTGCACAGGGTCGCCTTGCAGATGACAGTTGAGAGACGTAGCATCGTTCTCCGTTTCATGCGTGAGTATAGTATGGCCGGCACCTACGACTGAACAGTGTCGTTTTGCCCACTTGTCGAAGGAACAAGATTGTCGTAGCAGGGAACAGCATCATGGATGGGTCACTTCGGGTCCTGTGTCTCAAAACATCCAAAGCTCTGCGATAACTTAAGAAACTTCGTTCTGAATGCTTCGACCCTTGATCAGGGCCTCGGTGGAAACCTCTGCGTTCAGCTCTTGCAGGAGCATGTCGCCACGAGAGCGGCCAAACCTGAGATCAGAGCTGGAAGAAGAAGGGCCAAAGCGCATGCGCCAAGCGCCATCAGAAGAATAAACAACAGCAAAGGACAGAGAACCCAGCAAGCAAAGCGTTGAAACCTCGCTGGGTTCATAGATTGTGGGCTTCGCATACGGCAGACCCCGGGAAAGAGAGGAGACGAACGAGAAGATAAAACCAAACGCACGCCCGGAAACACCACAGCTGCATGTGAACATGCGACCGGAAGAGCAGCGAAGAACCGCAGAATGACACAGCATAAATTAAAAGCAACAAATCAAGGTGTAAAGAACACTGCAACCCCCTTGTAAGTTATTCCCGCTACATCTTCACTTTTGTTTGTTTTCGGGATGGCGAAATGGCTAAGGCGACATCAAGCAAATGCCTATGCACAAATCAGATGTACCGAGCAAAATACGACAGTACCCATTGACCTCATCACCGTCTCTACTTGCTGAGCGCCCTGGTCCAACCAAAGCTAGGCGTCTCATTCTGGTAGGATGATACAAAGCCGAAGGCTAAAGGTTACCCACTGAGCTACCACGTGTCAGGTCTTGTTGAGACATTTTCGCGGCGTGCTCCATCTCGTCCTTCTATTAAGATTATTATTTGAACGTGTCTTGGCGGTTTCCATCGTGACAGAATCCGCGGATCTTCACACACGCCTCTACAAAGGCACCGCTGTAGACCCCAAATACCAATGGCCTTTTAATCAGGTACTCCCAGTCGTCAATAAGTGAGCCCCTGGGGCGCCAGCAGCCGCCTCACGGCTTTGAGAGTGTAGGAATTGACTTGGAGCCTCGCCGACGTGAAAGCAAAAGAGGCAAATCAAGGCTTGACACGGTTCCGAGAGGTACCTCCCTTGTTCAGGGATCCCTTCATGACAATGACAAGGAGCCTGCTAGTACCATCTAGATCTACTTAAGGTTCACGGTCAAAGGCGCAGCTCTTGCGCTTGCAACTGGCACCTTCGGTCCAGCATCTCCCGCAGGGAGGCTTCACCCAACTCTTTGTCCTCGCAACGTGCAGCTCTGTCGGCATTCGGACGCACAGAATCCATGTGCACAGTCTTGACAAACAGTCTTAGAGCAAACATAACTTCCCCTGGACCTCAAACCCCAAAACTCCAATCCACCCACATGAAACCCTTTTCTTCCCTGAACCCTGAGAATGCCTCATGGACACAGACACGACTGCAACGCGCCTCGCCCTTTGCGCAAGCTGCAAGGAGCGACGACCACGCAATGACCCCCGGCCTCGGAAACCCCAAAGGGCCGACAGAGGAAAAAGAGAGCATATTACAGTTTAGGCTTCAGATGGTAAGGATAGCAACAATAAGACATAATAATAAGTCGACTCGAATCCAACAGTGAGAGGCATAAACTAATCACGCTGCTAATCAAACACGTCCAAACAGACACATAGCATCATCGCATTTTTAACTTGGTGCAGGCCCCGTCCCTGGTGTGTTCGGGGCCGCAGCTCCAGACCTCTGCGCTCCATAGCACGGAGCCAGCGATGCGCCAGCTTGGGCTGTGCTGCCTGGCAGCCAACAACAAAGCACAAAGCCGTGCCTTCGAGTATTTCGCTTGCTGCCATGTGCAGCTCCCATGCGCTCCGATCCGGCCGCGGTCGCTTCGACTAATGCAGCTGCAGCTGCAGCAAGGCGGGAATAGACTGGCAATCAACAACTCAACAGAGTACAAGCTACTTCTCTGCTTTTTCTCCTCGGCGCTCAATGGCATCAAATGGCCAGGGTCTGTGGAATACCCAAGCCATTTGAAGTCGTCCCCGTAGTGCCAGATCATCTGCTGTCGCAGGTGCTCTGTCCACAGCCTTCGTGCTCAAAAGGAGGGTTGCAATCCTTCGACTACCGCATTCTGCTTCTCGCCAAGTTTCTGGATCCATGCGGGAGCCGTGCAGTTCCGCCACTCCAGCGTCTTCTCCTTGAAGCTGCAATGCTCTTTCACCGCCCCTTCCTGACAGCTTGGCCATGAAGCACAGTGCTCCTACCAGACCAGCGTGCCTCGTGCAATGTCTGCGACAGCATCATCAAGATGGGTCAACCACACGTGATCCACATCCACTACCCCTGGCTACTCTTACAGTTTCACGTCGCAATTCGCTGGTCCACTAAAGAGCCGCCTTCAGCACTCCAAGTGTGAGCCAAGCGTCACGCATGCTGTCCCGCAGGTTCTTGCCGGGCAAGACTTGTGGAAAGGGCGGCAACCCCGCGCAGAAAGAGAACCTGCATGTGCGAGGTTTAGGACTGAAGCTTCCAGGTCTGCATGGTATCAAGTGTGACCTGGCTGTGCAGCAGGCCTCCTGCACAGCGTGTCGCGGAGCAACTCAATGTCGTCTTGCAGCGTCTCCAGGTGTAAGACCTCAACTACGCAGAGTCGGTTGGATTGCGCGGATGCTTTCACTAACGTTAATGAAGCGTCCCAAGTGGCCACTACGTCCTCCAGGAAAGAAGATCCGGCCAGGAAACGTTCGTCGTGCACCATGTCCTGCGGCACTCAAACTCCAGCAACGGCCTCGCAGCCAACTGCTCGGAGGCCGACACTCAAGGGCCGTATGTGGAAGATGTCTTCCGCTGACAGCGAGTAGTACTTGGTCTCGCCTCAGGCTACCAGGCAAGCGCCGTTCACAGCAATCACTGCTCTGGTAGGCACAGTGCATGTTTCGGATTGCATCGTAAATATATTCCTCCGCAGCTGGCAGAGTTTTCGGGACCAGTGTATGGACGCCCTAACTTCATCAATATCCCTCACTAGACACGCCAACGAATTACTATCGCAAAGGCTGCAGTCATTTCTGCGATGGCACTGGCCACGCGAAACAACAAGGGCTGAGCTGGCGACAATGAAAAGGATGAAGAGCTGTGCCAGGTATCAGAGTAGAACTCTGGCGGCAGGACTGCCTGATGGTCGGAGCCTGGGGAGGCTTTCATGCTGTTCCGTTGAGTGGATGCTGATGCAACCTGAGCTTTTCGCCCACTGGAGACCTCAGATTGATGGAGCTCTCTCTTGAACAAATCTGTAGCCGTTTCAGAACAAGCCAAAGCAGCCGTTGGCGAAACCGCCGGGCATGGATCCGCGAGCTTCCATCACAAGCCTTGTGTCTGCACGCTGTCTGCACCTACGCTCCCATACGCCTATTATACGCCTTACCGAGCTCACAAAACCTTGGTCGAGAGTCGACAGCCAGTCGCCGAAGCCTTCCCATCTCGTCCTCGCACTCTGGCACTTCGAGCTCCAAAAGTTTCTGCACAGAACGGAAGGCGGAAGCTGTCCATTTATGCTCGCCCCAGACCGCGTTGTTGTTCAGCCAGCTGAACTTAAAGTAGGACGTCATCCTGTCGACTCTCGCTAGAGCCCACGGGAGTTCACCACACACGCGACGCAAGGGTTCATCGTGAGTGCACACAGCGCAGCACACATAAGTCGTAAGTCCTGACGAATGGATTCCTGCCCATCACAACGTGTTGGCGGCCATGTCCATACAAGCAGCAAAACCTAAGTTGGACGGTGTCTCGCGAAGCAAAGCAAGTGCATGAGTAGCCAAGAAAGGCTGCTTGCCAAGTCGCGGGCAAAGGTGCGCCGGAGGAACGAACTCCCTTTCCACAGCCATTGATTTGTCATAATTTTCCTCGATGTGGCGATGGGGCAAGTTGGGCTTGCTTTCAACAGGTTGAGACAGACCGAACACGCGGCGTCTCGGCATGAGTGCATATCCCAAACACAGCTGCGCGCCAAGGCCACAGTATTGCATTCAGGTTTCGCCACCCGGTTTGTATCTGTGGATGGCTCGGTACCTTGACTGTCGGTGCTGTTGGGCAACGCTCACGAGTCTTACGCCTGGGTGCTGACACGAAAGATTCATCAAAGATGCATCATGTTCGAGCTCCATGCTGAGCCAGCCAGTTTTTCAGTCCTTGCATAGCAGATACCAGTCGGTGGCTGCGCAGCAGCCTCAACTACCTCTGGTGCTGTTGAAGCATCGGGATGGCTCCAGCAGCGGCTGCCCGCTGCAACTCAGGAATTATGAAGGAGTCGGAAAACTCTCCAGGACCTTGTCTGCAAAGCTTCCAGCGCACATGCAGCTTCCTGCTGTTAGCGGAAAGAACTCATGATTGAATCCTATGCTCTGTCCATGCCTGCCAGGGGACCCTTGTATTTCAAAAACAGGCTGGCTCCCTGCACCAGCGAATCAAGATCCTCCTCGCCTAGCGGTGCTTTGTGGAGAGCTGCTGGGGACAAGGCACCAACGTCACATTTTCTTGGAAACCTGCCTTCCATTTGCAAGGCCCAATTGATGGTTGAGGTAGTCCCACATTTAGGTATCTGACAGAGGGAGCGGCAGTTGCAGGACGTAAAGCCTGTGGACACATGTTATAAAGCGTAACTGCGTGTGCCATCCGTGCATTGCGGTACCAAGGTACTGTAAGGATTGCCACGGGAACCCGTTTTGGGCAGTGGGACAGCTGCACTTCCACCGGCCACGCATCGGAAGGAAGTGTCCTGTGAAGCATCAACTACTAGTAGAACCAATGCCAGGCTCGAAGCGACCCAAGAAAAAACTGAGCGCGCTTCCTTCGTTTGTGACGTGGATTCGAGTGCAACGCGTTGTGAACGAAGTATACGAGGAACGCTATGCTGGGAGCAGCTTGAATCTGTTACGAGAACTTCCAGAATTTCGCAGCCTCTCGGAACTCCGACAAGTGCGGCGTTTGGGGACTGGAGCAAGCGGAAAGGTGCACTGTGCCCGTGTCCTGTTTTGACGGTCTTGCCATATTTGAGGTGGCATCGGGCCCAAACTCCGAACTCGGCAGTTGGATGGGATGAGCCATACCTTGGCGGGGTGGTGTACTCGTGGTACTCTCGGGATCTGTAGATCTTGCCTTGTGCCTTCTGCTGAAGCCTAACGTGCTGCAGCCAGGCAGCAGGTGGATCAGGGGCATGTCCCGAGTCCGAGTTCGGGTCTGCAAGGCGAGCTGGCATTGCCCATTTTTGGGGATACTTCTCTTTCAATGAGGGTTCCGAAATTCGGATCCCCAGAAGGACACCAGGGGCCAATGCAGAGAAACCCAGAAGAAACTCTTACAAACTCTGGAAAACGAATCCTTGCGCGCAGTCCTGGCCTAGCCGGATGCCACTCTTCTGTAGCCTCGCAACCTTCAGTCGAAGATGATGGAGCGCAAGAACAACCCGGTAGTGGAATAAGGTACTTGTACTAGCCGGCAAGAGAGCGGCAAAAGACAGCAAACCTGAGAGCATGGCTTCTTCTTGCTCTATCAGCTGCAAACGCTGCATCTCTTGGTGGTCGGAAGTCCTGCAGTGCCGGCAAAGGGCACAGCAACTCGGCCACGATTGAGTTGCGACGCAGAGGCCTCATCAAGCAGTAGCCGTTCCCCACACTGTAGTATTCGCAATCGGAGCCATCGCAAGACTTTCGCCACAATAGAACATCTTCCTTCGCGAAAGGTCTTTTTTGGTTTGGCGGGGTCTTTGTGAAACCTTCGCGTTTAGTCGATGTTGTCGTCTTCTGTCGGGATGATGGGATCAAAAACAACATGGAGAGCGAAACATTTGGGAACCCCACCGACATTTCGAACCTCCCAGGACAGGTCAATCGACTGAATTTGAGCGTCGTTCTTACTGGCAGCCCTAACGCGTCGCGAATGGCACCTCGGACAGAGTTTTTTCTGCAAAACCGCTTGATGCTCGCAACGGTGTATGCCATGACTTCAACTACTTCAACTTCTCCCCAGCAAAGTAAGGCTACGTTGTGCAGCGGGTCAGAGCTCGCTGGCATGTCGTACAAGTGCGTGAAGCTCATTGCGGCATGCCGCAGCCATCTTGCATCCAGATATGGCTTGGTGCCATCGCCTCTAGAAGGACATGCGGGTAGCAACCTTGGAACGACACAACAGGACATGCACGTCACCTCTGCAGCCACGAGCTCTAGAAAACGACAAGCATTGCCAGCACAGATACATCGACGTGCATGTCTGTACCAGAGGGGAGCCAAGAAACCAGATTGCGGGAAAAAAGCTTCGGCCATGCCCCATGGCAGTCTGCGCAGCCTTTTGCACCTCTCTTGAGGCGCATCATGGTCGCCCTTGTCTGCGCTTGGGGCAAAAAGCTGCGGACAATCAAGAACCCAGTGGCTGGGTTTCTTCACAAAGAAACATGTGTGCCCCTCGTGCCTCCCCGCAACAGTGGATGATGGAGTTGTAGGAGACTGCATCCGGCTCAAGCTTCTGCAGCTGCATCTCCTCAAACCTCAGCAATTCCCCTTCAAATCTCTCGTCCTTGCAGGACACTCTCGCAAGGAGATGCTTCCATCCTTGGTCTTCGACCACCCGCTGGCGCCCTGAATGTCCGGGGCGCAACCACGAATGAGCCTTGGTAAAAACAGGAGTGCCACAGCTCTACACGCCACGGCATGCCATTGGCCTATCCTGCAATATGCATGCCATTTGTGTTGTGCATATGATAATGACAGTGCCGTGATGAGCCGTCAAACTTGACACACATCGTCTGGCTGCGCTGCCCTTACCAAGTAGTGTACTGATTGTAGGTCGTCGCGTCCGGGTTCAGTCGGACACCTTGCAGTTGCCGAAGCCACTCTTCAGCCTGGATGCAGGGCTAGCCGCAATGACCGACCGGCCCTGTGGGTGAGGGGCCTTCAAATCAGGAGGACTAGCTCCCTAGCTGTCACTCTGCATTGGATTAGTCTTCGACCTTCTGCAGGGCCCCAGCAGCATTTTGAAGGGGCAGTGCACATGGCTTTGCTAAAGCCGAAGCCGAGGGGGCTGTACATTCTAGTGATTACTATTCATTAGAACAACCTGCGTGCAATTAGGCCCAACTCAGGGAAATCCAACCCTCGTGCTACGACGGCTTGGGAGTCTTTCCGACAACCGTAACTAGCACTAGCTAGCACAGCCGCGCTAGCTCACGAAGCTCTTGCGGATGCTCTTGCCAGAAGCTTCGAAGCTGACAGCTGGACCTGCGGCAGCATGCGGAGCTTGGTGAAGCCTTTGATGACGGCCTCAAGTTGCAAGGTCGCTTAGATCCGCACGCCGGCGGTCAAGGAACACCCCAACTATGCATTCACAGTTTAGCGGTGGGGCTGAGGACCCTGAGAATTCACTCATATCCCTGAACTTCACTAAGCCTTCGCGCGCTCCTTCCCCACCCAAGTTTGCAGAACTCCGGCTCGGGGCTCGAGCGCTGTGAGCGAACAGGGCTGATTAGGGTTTAGGACGTATGGTTCAGGGTTGCCCGACTTGAAGGCATGCTGTCGTCTGAAGCTTCCACTTTGCAATTGACTAAAATCCGAGCACCTCGAATGCCGTCTCTCCTGAGTCCGACACTACTTGGCTGCCAGGAGACATTGTAGGTTACGATCCCCGGCAGGCAACGGGCAGCTCGCCTGAAAACAGCCGGGCTTGTCAGAACGGAGTTCAAAGTAGTCATCGAAAGACCAGCAACGGCAAACCTAGCCAAGGGAGAGAGAGAGAGAGAGAGACAGAACGGCGAGGGTGCCGCATGTTTATGTAAATGGTCTCGTTCCTTCCCTCTCTCTACATTCGCGTATTCATATGTGTGTGAGCGCACACACATACATACATACATACATGCATGCACACACACACAGCCGTGCGTAGTTACATACACATAGATACATAGACACATGGATACAGAGATAGATAGATAGATACATTCGTACATTCATACATGCACACATGCATGCATACACATGTCTACAAACATTCATGAATACCTACCTATCGTGCACACATGTATGTATGCATGTATGTATGCATGCATGTATGCATGTATGCACGTATGCACGCATGCACGTATCATGCATGCATGCATGCATGCATGCATGCATGCATGTATCTATGTATCTATGTGTACGTGTGCATTATGTGCACGTGTGCATGCCTGTCTGTCTTTCTGTCTGTCTGTCTTTCTCTGTATGTATGTATGTATGTACGTACGTACGTATGTACACACACACACACACACGCACGCACCAACGCACGCACGCACGCACGACATCGCACGAAATACATACATACATACATACATATATATATATATGGGCTGGATCTGCTGTGCGCATTACCTGCAATTCAAGCTGCATCCTTTCCATCCACGTCCGGATCTCCTCCGCCCTTCCTACCTGCGCAAGGCCGCCTGAGCTTGCAGGTGTGTGCTCGCAAACAGCATATTCTAGGGTTTCGGAGTTTAGGGCAATTTAAGGTTTACTGTAGGCCCATAAGCCTGAACCCGAAGCCCTAAACTCATC